CACACACACACACACACACACACACACACACACACACACACACACACACCTTGAATGTAAATACTCGCCTCATTACCTTTTTACGCCACGCGAGATTGTTTTTTTTATTTGCCCCAATGCTATGCTATACACACAAACATCAATCTATCCTGCCTGTCTGTCTGTCTCGTTTTCAGGTGTCAGCAGCAGCATGCGTAAACGCCGGGAAGAAATGGCCGCGGCCATCTGGGCCATTCTAGAGGAGCGCCAGCGTGTCATCACCTTCTCCTATTCGCGTGTACTGGAGCAGCTGCGCGCCCAGTCTGAGCGCATGATCGCGGCGGAGGCCTTCGAGGACGGTCTCAACGTCCTGCGCAATTCCAACAAGATTGAATGGGCCGGAAACACCATCCGAAAACGCTAGGCTCCCGTGGTGATGGTGGTGGTGGCCCGGCGCACTGCACTGGACCGCACTAGATTTTTTTTCTATATAGTCATGCATACTCTTCATATTCGTGTATTTTTATAACAATAACAAGATTAAAGATTTTTGTGTTCCCTTCGCCTTTCTTTGAGTTATAGGGTTCCCCCTGCTGGCGTAGCTGCTGACAGTTGAAACAGTTAATTGCTGTAGAAAATAGTGGCAGACTCTTCAGTCGCTCTTAATTTTTTAGTTCAGTTGACGGTAAGGTCTCGGCCAATACAAGCGAAAATACGAGTCCCGCTGAGAAGGAGGCAGTGTGATCGCTGGGACAAGCATTTATTCGCCTGACGCTTCGGATTCCGTCGCGGATCCGGCGTCAGAGACAGTATTTATAGGATACAATCGCTATGCTGCTGCTGCATACCTATGAAGAGTAGCAGTTCCCCGCACCCTAACCAGGATAGTTGCGCACTTGTGCGCTAACTGCTTGATGGCTGGCGTGCGAATCGTGACCTGCTGAACTTTCGTCACCCCTGTTGCATTTGGGTATTATGATCGCTCGGCCACCTGGCCCTCTAGTGTTCAAAGACGCGCTCGTTTGCGCCCTCCCCGAGTGGTGAATTGCTTTGGCCAAACTGACCGCGTGTGCGTTGGGCACTTCGTTCCGCTTTTTTATAGACTGGGCGTCAGTAGCCCACGATTGTCAC